GATGGCTGTATGGTGTTGACGCGGCATGGCCATGATGGGCCACGGAATGGCACGCCATCGGCCAACCATGGAGTGTCGTCCATACGATCGAAGGATTCTCTGGTCGGTGACGCTGTCACCCTGTACGGTGCATATGTCCAAAAGAAGTGAAACGGACACAGACTGATGGAACATAAGAAACCGATTCGGCAACGATTCCGAAGAGCCAAGCCATCAGGGATCAGTGAGTGGATCGCTGTCTCATATGCTAGGGAATTAAGTAATCATCAACTTGACGTCTGACAAGAGCATGGCCGACGGGGCCCCTGGCGAACAAGTAGCATCAGGTCGGTTAGTGTCATCTCTGAAACCTGAGTATGTTGCACTCTTTGTTCTCTAAGCGAGGTGCGTAGGGTAGTGTCTCTTGGTCAATATCAAAGCTCAAATGAGAGATAGAGAAGGGGGCAAGGATACTGAGATACAAACCATCGCGTGACCAATGGATGTCAAATAGTTAACACAACAATGTCCTGAAAATATATCCTTTACGAGGAAATACTTAATTAGCACCATCTTGTGAATCTCGGACCTCGAGGGCCAAAGCCACAGCTCAAAGGTCAATGCATAGCCACGTGGACCGGTGTGTTCAGGGGATTCCAGGCAATGGCCGCATCTGTGGACAAGAGATCATAAGACCGAGGTTTACGGCAGGGATGAAAAGCGCAGCCAAGGGAAATTGAATCTGTTGAAGTCAAAGTGTCAGGGATAAGACGCGCGCCCCTTTTGACCAAGCGAAAATCCCCGAGTGCTGCACTTGGCTCTCCCGTCTACCTACTATAGAGGATCTTTCTATCGGATTTACTGTTAGATCTCCATAACTAATATCCGAGATTTTCAGAAATAAATCATTTCTATTAAAATTGGGATGACGAAAACTGCTCGCCTTTCGACTTCTCCAACAGACCGTCATTCAAGTGGATTCGTAGTACCTGCGAATCGGTGCGCAGCGGTGACTGAAATCCTCATGCTTTTTCGTGGGAGACACCACATGTGAGTGGAGCCCGAAAGCCAATAAAACATGCTGCAACACGCCCGAGTCTGATTCCATGTCTCCCGTGCGGCAACAGTGCCGTAGGTCCTTCAATACTTTCTAATTGGCTCGGCTCCTTGAGTACTGTGACGGGCACACGAGGTAAATGGCTGCTAAGTTTAGGCTAACTCCACTCTGGAAAGCGATCCGGTGTCCAGTAATGAGCTACCTTTAAGCGACCCGAAAGCCGAAGGTGGTATGTCACAGGTTGGTGATGACATGAGGGTGTGCAGCCTACCAGCCATTTGTGTATGGAGCACTCCGTACAATTTCCCACTGAGCGTTCAGTTGCGGTCCAATGTCTCTCCATGGCAAGTCGACAACGATGTATTTGTCGCCCTCGTGTCCGGTATTATTTGGCCATCGAACGGCGCCACTGGAGTCATAACTCGCCCATGGCGTTGACATTTTACCGAAAAGGATACAACTTGGAAATAACCTCTCTGCTTTTTAGTGCTGTCAAGGTGATGCGACAAAGATTGCGTTTTTGCCGAGGTGCCAAGTTTGGTTGTTCTTGATCTTCTCCTATGGATCTTGACCGCTTCAATTCAGTAGTCATAACCACTCCATCATCGATAGGGAAAGAAGAGGGTCTGCTGGCCTCCAAAGAACCTGCATCCTATTAATAATGATGACAATCTCTGCAACTGGTATAGTCCAACGCAGGAGAAAAGGCCCCCTGCAAGGCAAACATGGCGTGTGCGCTATGTCACAGTTTCAGATGGTAAGTGCCACACGAGGACGAACCGGAACGGGCATCAAAGCAGCTAGATGTAGGCGGCGTCTGGGAAGCAATGCACGAGCCGCCTAGCTGTACCTTCCATAAGCCTACTCCGTACAGGATGCATAGCAAATATAATGGTGATTTGGTTTGCTGTTATATGGCTATTTTTCCGCCTCTCTTCTCTCCCCATTTCGTGCAGGTTATGCGTAAGAACGTATTCCAAGAGGATCTGCCCCTTTTGAAGTTGCAATCGAAGATCACTGCGTCCTTCAATTCATCAAAGAACTAAGGAGTTAGCCTTTATTGTTGTGGCCATTCAGCCAATCGCTTTCCGATGGTGTAATCTGGCGATGGTTGAACCACACAAGCGCTCAATAATAAGATGACTCCGCTTTTGGTAGCGCACCTAAAGCATTGCCGGTTAGGCGGCTGGATCGACGCAGGAGCGAATGCAATGAGGGAAGAACCTTAGTATCAACGCACAGTTTACCGGTATTGTCATTGATCGGCGAAGCCACCAACACGAGGCACTGTGGCAGAGGAGGTACTGACCTGGGGGTAACTCGGTCGAAACACGGACTTCGACCAGTCACAACGCAGGGGTTGACGATAATGGAACCTCCTCGAGAAACGGTCGGATTATTGGTTAGGCATTAGATTACCCAGGTAGCCTTTCAACTTGAATTCAAAGCCACGAAAATTGTAGAACATGAGCCACGTATCGACCTTACTATCTAGTACTAGTCAGATCCTTCGGTTTGCTGCCGCCACGCCCTCAAAACTTCAAGAGCCGTTTCCATGAAATCCCTAGACTAGTCCGTATCCAAGACAGAACCTCCCGGCTCAGCATCCGGGCTAGGCCTTTCAGCCTTTTAAGGTTCCATGGAGCTCAGCAATGGGGGTAGTCCGAGGCGGCCGTTGATAGATTGCCGAAGCTTACCAATCTGCAACAACGCAAGGGGGAAAAATCCATCTGCCTTCTATTCTGACAGATTTGCTGGGCGCACGATCATTGACTCAAGAAATACACATGCGTAATGGTATCTAAAGCAGGAGAGCACCCTCTGTCCAGTGTCCGGAAAATAAGCACAGCACGGGCTCCAGCTTCGCCGGGTGACGAAAAAGAAAAGAAATCAAGCGGACGAATCAAATGTTCTGGATGACATTTCGTCCAGCCCATCTCTAATTCGACGGACCACTTGGATCCTTTTAAACATTATTTTTGAAATTAGAACGGTTGAGCCTTCGACAGAACCATACTTAGGCTGACGTACCATGCCTTATTCAACTGCCTATCCAATATCATACTCCAGGCTTGATGATGATCATCTAGGGAACCATTGTCCTAGGAGATGATTGCCACGGATGTGAGATGCCTTACAGGCCCGCTTGCCTTGTTAACTTGCATACGAATACTCATTCTTGAAGTCAGAGATCTTATCCAAAAAGAGCAGGTACCTTAATACTGCGGTAGACATTGGATTTAGAGTGAATAACATGGCAAGCGAACTACACTCAACACTGCCACTGCCGATCTCGGGATACCACTTCGAAATTAGTCTACTTGCTAGCACTTGTCAATAATCAAAACAGAGGCCTAATCTCTTTATTTGCCTCCACTCATGGTCAACGAGGCTCCGGGATTTCCATCATGCTAGTTACCAGTTAGCAACTTGCCATCATTTAGACTACTAAGGAGTAAGGAATACACTTGAAACTTTGAGCCATTATCAGTCCACAGGACCATTCGAATCGTCATGCCTAATAGTAGTATCATAGCATAGCCAAGCCGCCAAAAAATGCCGAAGTAGGTTCCCAGGAACATTTTCGCAGACGTAGACTGTATGAGTCTGTGAGCAATCAAGTAAACACCGTGTGCTCTTTCATGAAAATTTCCTCGTCTAACCGGTCCTATCTCCACCACCTGAGATCCCAGCCTACTCTGTGCTATTTTGGTGTGAACTGGCTTTGTTTCAGCCATGCTCTGGCTCTGTTCTCTCGACAGGGGTCTGCCGAGAGAGTTTTCGGAGTTGCTTCCTGGAAGTTTCTTTTTCTTTTTCTTTTTCTTTTTTTTTTTCCCAAAAGACCCTGCGCACTGATATTTTTCTTTCCATCATTTTATATTAATATGATTCTCGTTAATATTATTATTATAATTTCCCCCCTCTTCTTCAAATCGATCTTGTTAATTAAATACATCTACTCTGGTAGAATACTACCCTGATTATTGAAGCGCACAGTCATTATTGTTGTATTTCGTATGTCAGCAAAGATCGATCATTTGGTAGCCAGTGTCAAAGTAATCTGGTCTTATCCTGAACAGGGAGCAGCCCTATTCCATAGTTAGCATCATAACTAATGTTTCCATTATCCAAGGATCCTTGTCTACTACTTGGTTAGTAGTCTGCTAATTACTTCTCCAATCCTTCTTCGCTTGTTCCTTCCCGCTTCTGTTCTTGTCATATGGTATGGATCTCTTACTTTGTCTTGGGTTAATTTAATAACCTGTTCGATCGCCCAGTACTTAAATCCTCCACGTTCCCTTGAGCAGCAAATCACAGACCTCGGCAACTAGGTACACATCTCGGCTGCCTATCCGTGGATCAATTGGATGGCCTCAACTTTGACAACCACCACTAACTATTCGGCTTCTCCCCGCAGTCTGTCGTCCTATCAACTTGAACACTCAAGATTGGACGACGTGAACACCAAAAGGGCCATAACGTCTGCCCTTCCGCACCAACTCTAATCTTGCACCTTTTCCAAGGAACTGGTTGTCTTTATTCGACAGTGAGATACATTATTTAATTGCCGTTGCACACGTCTGCGCTCTTTCGCCACCACAGCCAGCTTGACCTTGTCAACTTCCTTTTTTTGACTGACAGTCCTTTTTATCTTTTCTTCTGCTCCATTTACATTTTTCTTATTTATTATTATTATTATTATTTGCATTGATTGCTCTTAATTTTCTTACCCTCAGTGTCGTCTCAACCCTTTCCGCCTTCAGAAATAAACTTCATATACACTACCAAGTCTTCGCTCTATAAGCTTTCCATCATCAATCTGTCTCTGGGGTTGTCTTTCCCTCTGTGCAGCCAAGTCAACCCAACTGACGCCACTTTGAACGTGGACAACGCACACTTTTCCAGCAAGACACCGCACCAACTCCCCTGATGAACTGGCTTTTCATGTTGCGATTCAGGAACCATGCAGACGCATTATTACCGCTCTCCGGCTAGCCCAAACCATCAGAGTGGTCGTTATGAGTTACCTCCAGTACAGTCAGTGACCTCTCCTTCTGGTCCTTTCCCACAGGGAACCTCCGCGGGGTTAGGTTCCGCTCCGCCGAGCAGGCCCGGCAGCGGACTGAGAATGGCTCAGCTGTTACAGCCTCTGGGACAAACACCCTCGACAACTTCGACATACACTCGTTCCTATGAGTCTAGCGGTTCTCCCGCCGAAGTTCCTCCAATCCGTTCGGATGTCTCTTCGCTCAATGGATCTGTATCGGGGGGCTCAACTCTTCCTCCGCCTGCATCTGTGGTGGGGCAGCAGCATCAGCAGCAACAGCCACTACCGCAGCAACACCATCATCATAGTCACCACCATCAGCAGGGTCATCTACATCAGAAAAGGGCGTATCGCCAAAGACGGAAGGATCCCAGCTGCGATGCTTGTCGCGAGCGGAAAGTCAAGGTAATAACTCTTTGTACAAGTTCAATGACCATGGATTCATTGACCTTGTCTTGTCTAGTGTGATGCGTCAGAATCGACCAGCTGTACGGAATGCACCAATCGAAAAGTGCGATGCCAGTTCACCAAGGAAACAAATAGACGCATGTCTTCTATCAAGTTCGTGGCTACGGCGATTCTTCCGTCCGGAAAAGGTCCTGCGATTCTAACGTGCAAGTAGACAAGTGCAGGATCTGGAAAAACAACTTTCGTCGACCAAACAGCAACTTCAGCAACTGCGAGCGGGTATGTTGAGGTCAGATAATCTTATGGATTTGGAAATCGATGGCACTGGACAACCGCAATTGAAGCTGCCCGACATCGGCCCGTATCGTCCCTCCCGAAGACCAAAAGCGCCGGTGTTGCAGGATCTCAGCGAGGCTCGAGCCAATCTGCGAAACTACGGACGGGGGATTCTCAAGGTACCCAGGCCGTATCGTCAGCCCGGCCCCAAATCGCTTTTGACTGCTGATCCACCTCGACTCCCTCCGAAAGAGGTCGCGAATCACCTCCTCACACAGTATTATTCGTGCATCCATTGTGTTCTACCAATCATACACTGGCCCAGCTTCATGATTGAATACGAGAATGTATACCGCAACGGATCCCTTGTGGGCGTTCCTCGGGAATGGGCCGCGGTTCTCTTCGGTGTGTTTGCCTGCGGGTCTCTGCACACATTGGACCGGGATAGAGAAGAGGAGGGGAAGGAGTTTATCAGAATCTCTTGCGGGGTCATTGACGTCTGGCAAGATAACTTCACACTTGATCAAGCTAGATGTGCTCTCTTGGTCAGTATATTCCTTTACGAAGTCAATTCAAAATCAGCGAGCTGGGTGTGGATTGGATCTGCAGTGAGGATCGCGCAGGAGTTAGGCCTCCATATTGAATCCGGTCCGTGGCCAGTTGTCGAGAGGGAAATGAGAAGACGCGTGTGGTGGGGGATGTACGCGTGGGACAGGTTTGTCTTTTGGAATGATTTCTTTACATGCAACGATGCTCATCGTTCTCTAGGCTTCTTGCGCTGGAGATGGGGAAGCCGGTTTTGATCAACGACCAAGATTGCGACGTTGATCTTCCTTGTCCGTTTGACGAGCAATACATCGCAGAGGGTGCTTGCGTGCCTGAAGGCCAGCAGACCACTCCACTTTTAGCCACCATCCATGTCGTCCGCTCCATTGGGCAGTTGACTCGGACCTTACGAAGCTACACTGTTTCCACCGGAACTCTTGAAACCTTCGAACGACACTTTAGCGCCTGCCTTGCAACCTTTCCTCCCCAATACCATCCGAAGTCTGATTTACCTCTTGATCCGCGCTCTCTTGCCCCGATTGGCTATCTTCAAAACGCCCGCCTCATTCTCCACCGCCATAACATATCTCCCTTTTGCTCCCCCGAGGTTCGATCGGCGGCTTTGGATTACAGCATTTCAATCGCAAAAGATACTGCCCATCTTCTTTCCCGTTGCATGCGCTATGCTTCGAGTACAGGGAACGATGACTGGCGACCATTGTTTGCATCGTCGGCCGGGACGATGCTGTGTACACATATCTGGCGTTGTGCGCTTTTGCTTTTGTTTCGTCAGGAATTTGCTGCGGCATTGGTGTGCGTTCAGGTCAGCGCCGTGGTTGGAGATTCGCGCACCGTCAATGCAGCCTGTGGACGGTACATCGCGTTCTTCCTCAAATGCCTGCTGGAGCGGTTGCGCCGCGGTGATGCAGCCGTTCTGGAGCGGGACGAAGAAATGATGGCGTATGTGTCCGGTGACATGCAGGGAACCAGTGACGGCAGCTGGGTATGGGAAGGCAGTGAGGCCGGTTCTCAGCTAGAGGCCATGTCCCCAAAATACGACAGCCCAGTATCGTTCACCCACGCTGGTGCCCGGAATGATTGGCCTAGCGGTGGAGGTTCACAGATGGCTTGGGAGGGCTGGGACTGGGTCGAGCGGACAGTCGAATATCTCTTGAAGGAGAAGCAGCAGCAACAGCAAGAGTACGAGCGGCGGGATGTTCCGCTGGCCGCGAAACCGACCGAACCGGTACGTCTCAAAGCGGAGCCTGCAGAGCCAGCACCAACGCCAAAAGAAATGAACTCGGTTCAGTCACGGATGACGATTGCGAGCATCATCTGAGTTGTACAAGACTGCTTGTCAGAAAGGCCGTGAGAGTGCCCTTGTACGAAGCGTCGCCAACAAATTCGAGCTCATGCTCCATGTACGCGCTCTCTTCCCGACCAGTCGCTCCGCCACAACAGGAGCGAGAGTACGAAATCGGCGCAGCAGTCTACTTCCAAATAGATTTTGTCGGTGCCTTTGTATTATCTTCGCCAGTACTAAAACTGGATCGAGGGTTTGGGCCACGTACGAGACGAGATAACGGTTTACGACAGATTTCTGCTTATATGTTTGCCTATGTATACATACAGTACAATATCCTAATATCCATGCAGATAGTGATATCCATAGAATTATACCATCAACCGGGTCATAACGGTTGACGGATCTGTTCATCATTGATGCTGACCAAAAGTTGAATATCTTATTGAAAAAGGAAGAGCAAGTAGAAGAAGAGAAAAATCTACGTCTCCAGATTGATACTCCGTCCAAACCGCGCGTACAGCGCGACCTTGAGCTGCTGCAACTCCTCCCGTACATCTCCCAAGGTCTCTTCCAGCTTAGACACCTCCGAATCAATCTGCTCCGTCGATGACGCCAGAAGAGACTGCGCATCTGCCAGCGGCAGCTGGAAGAAGGCGTCGCCGACCTTGTACCTGCTATGCGTCAACCAACCCCCCGCATGACGGTGTACATAAATAAAAGCAAAGCAGAGCACAGAAGGGAATACATACGGGACTAACTCATCCTCATCCGCCAACTCGAGCTCGGTCGAAATCTCCTCTAGATCTTCCTTGTCTTTCTATTTACGTAGCATCAGTATCATCAATTGGAGCCAATGGCACCCCCGGCATCGGGGAATGAGCGTGAGCGTAAGCGTGAACGTGAACGTACCTGCTTCGCCTTGAGCTGCTCCTCGAGCACAGACTCGCGCTGATGAAGACGGCTGAACCGATTGATCTTTTCTTGGTCCTCGCGCCGGACTTCGTTTTCTTCGCTGCCGGCTGTGGCTTCGTCTTCTTTGCTGAGCTGGAGGGTAGCGTTAGGTTTGGGTTCTACAGTTGGAGATGGGGTGGGACGGGGATTTATCTAAGGCGTACCATGCGGTGATTCATCATTTTGCTGGTGGTTTCTAGCCCGTGGGATACGTTTCGAGCTTGTGGTGGTGGATGTATGGGCTTGGGTATCTGATTCTTGGTCGGATTTGGAGATTGATTTGATTGTGGTGGGAGGTGGTCCGTGCGGGGCAGGATAGGCTGTCTTAGGATGGGATGAGGTGATAGGATATATGGAGGAGCTACTCTTGTTATTGTCTATTGTGGTCATGGAGTTTTTAAAGAAAGACAGTGTACTTGATAGTATTGCCATATGATCTATATTTGTTTTGTATACAGGTGTAAGACTGGTGAGAATTGCTGTGATTCTTGAACTGGACACGTGCTGCATCAATGATGCTCAGGAGCTGCGATGCGTCCATTGTGTACTCCGTAGTGTAGTGACTCGTAGCCTCAAAATCATAGAGATGAAATACCGGTAGCTACATATAGGAAGCAGCAGATTTACTAAGGCTGGTATATAGACTCTAGATTTGTGGTCAGGATAGAGACATCGACACAACTGGGATGACAGCGGTCGGGTGACATCATCAGCAGCCCCCTGTCATCTCTCCTCCGCAAGAAGGACCATTTAGAACTGGATAGAATAGCTGCTTGTTGCCTGCTACGAGGGCGTGATCGTCCAGCTCGTTGAGAATCAGTTGTACTTCATTCGTACCCGAGTTCTGTGGAACGAGGTGATAGGAGCTGTCCTGCAACGATCGATCGCAATCCGGAGAAACGAATCCCCAACTGCAGCACGAGTAAACCGCATCCATCTCGTTCTGTGCACATCCGGCCAGCACGGCAATCTATCCTTTGATTCCCCTTTACCAATTCCCATCCACATATATTACTCTCCAGTATACTGCATCATAAGCACACATTTTTTTCCATTCTATTATCAAGACAACCGGTCCAAATCGCGTTTCCGACTCTGACACTAGTCGGTCCGTGACCTCACTCTCTGCCTTCAAGACAGGCATCACCGTTCGTTTGAGCAACAATATCATCCTTGCGCTCTCGGTAACTTGGAAAAAAAGAAACGGCCTCGTCGATCGTGTAACGCTACGCTACGCACTGCTCTTCCCTTACACCCTCGTGACATCCTCCCACGATGCGAATACAATCGAGCCTCTCCTCATCGGTGCTCTTCTCCTCCGCCCTCCTGACCGGTCTAGCCTCGGCGACAGGGGGGTTCGACTGCCGTAATATTGTCGCAGAGGGGAATAAATACGACCTCTACGGCTTGCACGGCGTGCACACGATCTACCATGTCGAGAAGGCGGAGGACTACATCGTGAATACGACCTACGTGCTGGACATCTGCAAGGCGCTCGGCAAGGCCTCGATCCGGGGGGACCTGAAGTGCGGGACTTCAAAGAATAGTGCGTGCCGTGGCATCTTGGACCTGTTGAATTTTAAAGGGGGAAAATGAATGAGTGCTGACTGTTTGTTCTAGTCTGTGGATTCCAGTACAAGTATACTGAGGACCGCTTGGAGGAGATCAGCCATGCCTTCCCCATTGCCGGACTGGACCCTCTGGGTCACGGCAGCAAGGACGCTGAGGTCACGCGGCTGAAGGGAGATGGGCAGGAAGGGCTGCTGGTGAAATTGGCGGGAGGGGAGTACATCGACAAGGACAAGAAGAAGAAGGATGCCCGGGCGGTGATTGAGTTCCAGTGTGATCCCGACCGGTCGGGTCTGGAGGGGTTGTCTTCTGTGGAGGGTGAATCGAGCGAGGAGGAGACGCGTCGGCGGGTGATGGTGCGGGAGGATGATGGCGACAAGGGCAAGGACAAGGATAAGGAGAAGACGGATCCGAATGACGGGTCGGATCCCTCACGCAGCCTGCAGTTTGAGAGTTTCGGGCCCGCGGACGACAATGCGTACGTGTTGAAGCTGAAGTGGCGGACGCGGTATGCGTGTGACAATTATGTCCGCGATAGGAAGGGTGACGGGTCAAGCCACTGGGGGTTCTTCACCTGGTTGATCATCATGTATGCTGCCCCCTTTCCACAACCTTGGCACATTGAGGCGAACAACTAATGATGTCTACAGTCTTTTCCTCTGCGTCGCCGCCTACCTTATTTTCGGCTCCTGGCTCAACTACAACCGCTACGGTGCCCGTGGCTGGGACCTTCTCCCGCACGGCGACACCCTCCGTGACGTTCCTTACCTTTTCCAGGACTGGCTGCGGAGGGTCATCAATACGCTGCAAGGGAGCGGGTCGAGAGGTGGTTACAGCGCGGTTTGAGGGGTTGGATCTGTGGCATTTTTGTGGCAGTTGGCATTGGCATTGGCACATATCTTCTGATTCTGTGATTTCGATATACGGCATGTGCGTTCATTTGATGGCCTGAGAACTACTGGGTCAATGGGGATAGATAGTACTGTATGATGAACGAAGTCAAGTCTTTCAGCCTGTACTAGTGGCACTATGTATCATTCTAACCTACTGCTTAGTGCCAATAAGTCGGGTAAATCATTACGAAATAGTGCAGTATCCTAACACAGCTATCGCTATGACTATAACCCTGACAAGGGTATACCTTCAGTATGATAATCTCCCTACACTCAAAGACATCAGACACAAACAAAGAGACGAATCAGAATCAGAATCAGAATCAGAAACAGAAACACAACTAGAAACACTCCGAAGTACGGAGTATGGAGTAACCCGAAAATGGCGTCATCAGAGCTAAGATCTCATCATCATCGTTGGCATCGTCATGGGAACATGGATCATCGCAGGGCATGTCAAGTGCCAACCTTAAATACTGCTTAAATCCTCCTCGTTGCAATTTACCCACTTGTTTCTTCGGTTTCCGCAGCGGCGCAAGCCTACACTTTCATGGCGAATTGCTTCAGGTACAGGTAGTCCGGCATGTTGCGGTCGACTGCCTCGCGGATGCGAGCCGCGGCCTCGGGGCCGTACTTTTCGCGCCATTCGGCGTCGAATTTTTCTTCGGATTTGGGAGGGTGCTATGGACGGTCAGTTTCTTCTTTTTACAGAAAATGGGGGAAAAGAGAGTGCTACAGGTTTCTTCGCCATCAGACCCTTCGACTCGATCGCATCGTTGTGGAAACCACGCCATTTCTCGAACGCGTCCCGCGCGATCTTGTGGTCCGCGTCGGTGTCCCAGCACAGCATGGAGGGATCGTAATCGAGCCCGACACTGCGGCAGAACGCCTCGATCATGGCGGCGGGCTTCTCGAGCATCTCGTCTGCGTCGACGACGCAGATCTCCGCGCCGGACTCGTGGCCCGCGCCGAGACCGGGGACAACAGGCTGCGGCTTCTGGTTGTCGGTGAGCTCGTTGGCGTCCTGTTCGCGCGTGGCGATGTGCGGGCCGATCAGGCCCTCGCGGCGCAGGTAGTCAAAGACGCGGCGCACCTCGTCGTACCCGGCTTCGAGGGGGTCGTAGGTGTAGAAGCCGGTGACGTCGTCCAGGGGCGGAATGGTGCACCGGTAGTAGGAGGGGACACTGAAGTGCGGGTCGCGGATGAGGAAGGCGAAGTGGAAGCGCGACAGGAGCTCCTTGGGCATCACAGTGGGATTGCCTGGTTCGGGCTCCGTGTCGTACGGGTAGGGCTCGCCGGTCCGGGACTTGGGGTGACCGTTTTGGCCGGTCTGGTCCTGGCCGTTGCTGCCCTGGTCGACGTGGCCGTTGGCCACGCCGTTTTCTTCGCCGGTGATTTGTCCATTGGTGCCTACGCCGCGCTTGATCCTCTGGAGTGACGGGGCAATGCTGGCAGGCTTGCCGTCGGGAGGCAGAAGGTAGTGGATAATATCCTTGATGAAGACTCTCTTTCCCTGTATCAGGTAAGTATCGTTGCGAAGACTGGCGCCTTGTGGTTTCGGTTTGAGCATGAGAATCATTTAACCCAAAATCCGCGGTCAACATCTTGACGGAGCGTTTTACAGGGGGATTGGAGAACCGAGGTGAGTGTAGGTTTTCTCCCGGATATGGCCATGGCTTCCATGGCGGAATGACCGGGGAGATTACGAGAGAACGACAATGAGGCAGAATAGAGGAAATCAGAGGACAAAGGAAAAACAAAAGGAAAAAAGACTAGGGTCGGACCTCGTTCTCGGCAGCTTCACGCTCGATTCTATCCAGCACCGTCTTGTACGTCGATTCGCTGAACCCGCTGTCTAGACGGGCCTGTTCATCATCGGCGAATCTGGAGCTGAGCCTCTCGGGACCATAGTAAAAGGCATCGCCAAAGGGCTCATGGATACATTGTATAGAATCACGGCGAGTCATAAAGACCTATGATGGAAGGGTCAGTGACTTGTCCGTCTAGACTATGCGTAATGCAAAGAGTAGCAAGGAGAGTAGTACTCACTCTTTCAAAGGCCGTGGAGCATGCTCGAGGATGGGTAGCAACAAAAATGGGTTTCTGCGACATTTCCGATGAGCAGATGTCAATGGAGTCGAGATGACAACCGAGGGAGCAGTTTGCAATTATGAGCCGAGTATTACTTCAACCAGGGGAGTTCCACCACCGGCGTAGTAGTCTACTGCTGTCCTTTTTCTTTTTCAATCGTATACTGTACAGAGACAGCAGGGACAATCAAAAGAAGAAGAGAAGCGTCGACGATAATCCTATCCGACGATCAGATGGGTCAGGTCAGGATGGCGAAGAATGCTTCAGACAGAGAAGGGGCGAGAGTGACCAGGGAAAGATGAGCAAGCTTTTATATGCAGAGAGATGGATATGACAGTGTGAGGGGGAAGAGTCGAGTTTCGTTTCTTTTTCGAATCGGAAAAAGTAAATCCCTCTTAGTTCAGTGGATAACCAAGTTCAATCGCGAGAATAATAATAATAGTAATAGGAATGGGACAAGATGGAGATCGTCTGGACGGTTGAACCACGTTTAGCTGCAGCCCGTCCGAGATAAGAAGGTCTGCCTTGAGGAAACTGGGAGATGCTGCTTCAATCTACGATTATTATTTGCTGGATTGAACCCACTTGGCTAAAGCTACTACTTCAGAGATATCTCACTGTGTCTGTCT